CAATTCAGTTATTGGAAGATCTATTAAGACTTTGTGTTCTCGACTTTGGAGACAGAAGATCAAGTTACAATGACGAGTTCTCCTACAACAAAAGCTATCTGTCTAGTATCAAAATGGCCCCTTATGAAGCATTTGGCAAAAAATGTAGAACTACACTAAGTTGGGTCGCAGAGGGTGAACATCAAATATTAGGTCCTAATTTAATTAATGAAGCTATAGAGAAAATTATATTAATCAAAAACAGATTGAAAGCTGCTCAGGCTCGACAGCAGAAATACTATGAACCAACGCACAAAGCAGTCAAATTTGAAGTTAGAGATTTCATATTCTTGAAAGTAGGGCCAATGAAAGATACAGTTAGATTTGGTCAAAGAAACAAATTGAGTCCTACGTACATCGGTCCTTTAAAATTTTGGAAAGGATCAAGGAAACAAATTGAGTCCTACATACATCGGTCCTTTTGAAATTCTAGAAAGGATCAGTCCAGTTGCGTAAAGATTAGTATTATTTACAGATATGTTAGATATTCCGAGCAAGGGATTTCACAGGAAGAAATTGACGTGCATAAAATTCTAACTTATATTGAATAACCTAAAAGTATTTTAGAAACTGATATTAAAAAGCAAAGAAACAGACAAATTCCCTTTGTCAACATAAAGTGAAAGCACGGGCCTGAAAAAGAAGCGATATGAGAAAAAGAAGAGGAAATATGATAGAAATATCTTTCTCTATTCAAGTCAGAAATTTTGAGGATAAAATTTCTATAGATGGGAGAATTATAACACCCACCTTTGAGATCCCATGTAAAGTTCATCAAATTTTAAAAGTATCTCAATTTTTGCAACCCTCATAAGTCAACTGAATTATTTTTATAAAATTTTATCCATGAAATTAATCAATTCAATATAAAGTACTATATATTAATTATTATTAGATTGGAAAATATAAAATTTTGAAGTTATAAGTATAATAACCTTAGTTAAACCTTAATTTCCTTTCCTAATCTCTCTAATCCCATATCTCTCAGCCTGCAATGATTCGATTCGATTTAACAATTAAGAATTAAAGGGGGATCGCTCGAGTGTCGCACTCCGCATCTCCCCGCACTCGTATTGCACGCTAGAAGGTGTTCGCAATGATTCGATTCGATTTAACAATTAAGAATTAAGGGGGGATCGCTCGAGTGTCGCACTCCGCATCTCCCTGCTCTCGTATTGCACGCTAGAAGGTGTTTGGTTGGGGGCATTGTAGTTGCGGCAAACAGAAAGGTATAGGCGGCCATCTAGGAGTCGCAAGATGCGATCCAAAGCCCCGAGGTGAAATTGGTGAGTATGAATCCCTCTCTCAAGTTATTTAAAACTTTTATTTCTTTCCTCTTGCTTTTGTTTTAATACTTGTCTCGATTTTGTGTGCTTTTTCATTTATGATAGCCTTCGAAAGCACCAAACTGGTGTCAGAAGTGTGAAAAGTGATTTGCAAGCTTCCTTAGAGACTTGAGCACAGAATTAGTGAAGGGGAAGGGAGTTTTGAGGTGTTAGAAAGAGTTGGGAGAAAATTTGGCAGTATTGGAGGGACGAACTTATGTCAAGAAGCTTGTTTGAGGTATGTTTTAACAAATAGGTCGTGTTCTGGGTTAAATCACAATGTGAGTTGGAATTTCATGAAATCCTATGATGTCTATGATTTTCGGGTTGCATGCATTAGGCGGCGAGCTCGAGACGAGCGTGAAGAAACTCATCGTAGAGCTGCTATGTCAAGTCGGGTGGATCCGACGATACCTAAAACTAGATAGATTAGGTATAAAGTGTGATCCATGTGATAATAACTAGGAGTGAAAAAAATCTCAAACTTTTTTTTGTTGTCAGTTTTATTTTAAAATAAATTTAAGAGTTTGAGTGTGTATCATACAAAACTCAACTATTTTTTTTATTTGATATAACTATATATATAAGGAATTGCTCCTCTCATGTGACGTTTTTCATGGTTTATTATTGGGTATGTCCTATGTGGAACTCATATGATTGCACTAGACTCTTAGTATAAATCATTTCTAGCATCTTTAATAAATAGATTAATCAATATGAAATCAACTTTGGAAAAAAATTTTATTAAAATTAATTACATAGCTTAATGCCTTAATAAATTGAAATTTGTTCTCTTTGAATTTATTGGATGAGATATTTACCAGCAATTAAAACCACTAGTGATAACCGAAATTAACCCAGACCACGACAAGTAAACAAAATGTTATTACTGAATTAAACATAGGGAAATATAGTCACACAAACAGAATAGAAATAGCAACAGATTCGACCTAAACGCAATTATGGTTTTATCCCAAACGGGTGGTAGTAAGTTGGGCGGAATGGAAGGGTGGTGTTTGGCAGAGCAAGGGTTAGGGGCGGCACGGGGATGGCAGCTAAGAAACTAGTAGGTTCGCTACTCCTGGACAGCGGTAGTGATGAGAAAAGGGGTTGAAAGAAGACATTGTTGGTTGGGGGCGGCTATCAGTGGAGGAAGGTTGGTTGTTGGATTAGGAGAGGCAGTAGTAAGTGGGAACGAGGGATTGCAAGGCAGCGGTAGGTGGAAGAAGATATGGAAAGTGACAGCAAAGCGAAACTGCAGAAAAACAACAAAGCAGAGTTGTAGCCAGGCATCTGTAGCAGGTACGATGACAGCGGTGGCAGAGGAAAGGAAGTGGTGGAAGGGAAAGTTGAGAATAGTCACCACCTCAGAATAAGATGCAATCGAACCACCACTCACCAATGGATATCCTAGAAGAAAAAACTGTAGACACTAATGGTTGTTCCGACGAGAAACTTACTAAAACTGAAATTCAAATAAACAAGAGCAGATATATAAGTCCTAGGTAGATAGGTTTGGGGCCTTCTGTTGAAATGAGGCGCCAAACCTATGTGGAGGAGCCAGTCGGTTATCCCATACCAGTAGGTCTAGGCGTGAACACGGGAAGTGAATCACACACCAGTCACGCCCACATCACCTAGTGTCAGTTCAAGTGTGAATGCAGGAAGTGAACCCCATGCCCCTCATGGCCGCATCACCTAGTGTTTGTGCACCTTCACAACACGGTCAATATCTCAACACGTAAAAGCCTTTCACTTAATAACTTTCATTACAAAAAATGTTCCTTAAGATAGAACCATCTATTGTTGGTATGGCTTTTTTTTTATAAGCCTAAGAATCTAGAATGTTAAGTAGTAACTGTCATGATCAAAGTAGGATTGTAAGTCCATCTGAGCAAACCTGGTTGCATATATTTGTGCTATTACATTCTTATCTTTCCGTAGGCAAATTTAATACAGCTAAATATTATAATTCTTGCATCTTTTTGGTCTATCGCCTAGAAATCGTCTGATTATGAATCTCTATTTTTCTCCTTAGCTTGACATCACAATGCTAGCTCTTAATGACATAATTCATAGTTGTTCATTGAGCATCTCAAAATTAAGCTAGTATAACTACCTTCATGTCTAAGTGATTTTGAGCTAGATAATCTAGAATGATAGATCTATGAAATTTTAACTACATTGATCTTTTTCCAAAATTCAGTATCCTTACCCATCATCTTTTAGGGCCTTTGAAGCTCATCACGGTTGTTGAATTTTATTACATTGGTTTTCAATTAAAAAGGCAATCGTCTCACTTGATTATTGTAACTGACTCTCCAACTTCTGAATTAAATAGTTTCAAATCATGGATCGCCCTATTAAATAACAATTTTTAAATCATAGTCTCTTCTTGATGTTGACCTAGGCAAATTAAAACACAAACATATTTTCTAGAATCAAGAATGTAACTTGATAGTGTTTTTTTCTTGTAATTTGCCTTACTGCACCATGGGAGATTGAGCAAGCCATATTCTCTACTTCTGGATTAAATAGTTTCAAATTATAGAGCCCTATTAAAATAACAAATTTTAAATCATAGTCTCTTATTTATGTTGACCTAGGCAGATTAAAACACAAGACATTTTTTATAATCAAGAATGTCTCTTGATAGCGTTTTTTATTGTGATTAACCTTACTGCACCTTGGGAGAATAAGCAAGCCATATTCTCTACTTTACTTGAATTTGATAGTGAGATATTGTCTTTTACATAGATTCATAAAATATTTGTTATTCCTACCTCATTGAGTTCAAGTAATTGAAAAAAGTATAACATGAATAATAAATCTACTTTTATGGAATACACTCACTTACTCTCCCTCCAAATATTAATTGTGAAAAAAAGTTCCTCAGTTTCACACATATTCTCTTCCAAAAGACGAGATGGGATGGCCAATATAGGAAGAGTTCAAGGTAGTACATCCCAAAAAATCATGTGGATAAAAGTGCATTATAAGACAACCATAATATTATCATATTTGTTTCCCATAACATATAAAACTCGATAAGCCAGAATATTTAATCACTCAGCAAGATGGGGTCAAACAATTAATTTTGGAAGAGGCCAACAATGCATTCAAGCGACTTTCACCCATAAAATAGCATATGTAAGCTTTAAATGACTAGTGGAATAAATAGCTAAAAAAAGCATTCCTTGAACTAAAAGCAAAATATCGGTTGACAGCACAAAAGATAAAATGATAAAATAATAGAAAGATTAAAAAACCAAATATAAATAGCATCATGATGAGTATAGAAAACAAAATAAAAAATATCGCAAACTTTGACAGTTGTAATGACACTGAGTTCATGAGGAACGAAGCCATGGCATAAAAAAATGGCACATAATGGTGAGCAATTAATGGGGTGGCTGATACAGGGTCGTGTCATATAGACAGTCAATGAAATTAACTGATATAATCTTATCCTATGATGGGGAGTCATCATATAGAACTTTTTTCTAGTGTTGAAAATGAATTAGAAACCACTTGCATCACCGCCTTCACCTTAGTTATCATGTTTCTTGAGGCTATTAAACCATATGTAATCATATATTATATATATTTAATGATGACTAAGATAGAAAATTTAACCTTGAATAGATTGTTGAAAAGAAATGACGAAGTCTTGAATACATTGGAGATTCTATATTACCAAATTCCTGAGAACAATGAAAATCGTAAAGTTGATCAAGTTATAATCATATATAAACGATAAACAAAGATTCTTGGGGTTTAATAGTAGAGAATGAACTAAATAAAATATTAGCGTTGGCATTCATTAAAGGCATACAACTAAAGGCTTATGCATAATAAGCACAAAACTAACCAAAAATGTTGCACAACGTCCAGAGGGAGAGGAATACTTGCTCCAACCATACTTGCAGTAACCAGATCCACCTTCATTAAGTAAAGTAACACAATTACAGATACTCAAATGCTTAAAGAACGCATAAATCAAACAAATATATTTTTGGCAATTGAAGTTAATTTTCATCAGCTATAGTGATCAAGTCGAATCCTTCTTCAGCTTCATTCATGTCATCTTCATCACAAACAACATCAACAACAGCGTCTATAGTTCTAATATTTGTATTTTTCTATGTGGAGCATCCTTCATCATGCATTCATTTTTAGAATTGCTTTAGCATCCATTTTTAGAGCTGCTTTAGCATTAATTTTGGTTACCTAAATCTACGTGAGCTCCTACCATGATACTTTCCAGCTAATAACACTATGCTTCCTACCATAGAGCATTATTAGTGCTTCATCTTCATTTTGTTTTACACCCCAAAACAATTACAATCAACTATCAACTATCAACTATCATATCCTCACTATATTTTAGGCAAAACTATATCTCAAATATAATCATTTCTCACTGAAATTTATAACATTGTGAGGCACGATGTGTTCAGTCATCACTCTTTCGCACTAAGTTTTGTAATATTATGTTAAACTATCTAAACAGCTCCTAACTTTAAGTCGCTTCCTAACACGATGCACTAATTCTAGCTTTCTGCACAATTGGTGCTTCTTCTTTTGTCCTCTAATCATACCCAAATAATATTAATTTCCAACTATCTTACCCTCTTTGATGTCTCTCAAGGAATTTCTCAAAAATACTCTCTTTGTTTCATTGTATTTCTTGATGATAGATCATTTATGTTCAGAATTACAAATATAAAATGTGCAGAAATGCAGCACATCCTAATAAAGTCTTGTAAAACTCCTTCCCATAAGAAAATTCAGCTGCCTTTGTTCAATCACCATTTTGCAAGTTATCATATAATCAATATCTTTTGGAACAATTAGAACGCTTTGACCAGAAATAATACAGCATAATAATGAGTCATCATAATTGCTATGCAACCACTGGGGGAGAAAAGGATATAAAAAGTGCAAGGGGCTCCCACAAATGGGGTGGGTGAGAGTTATAAGAAAAGTTTTTTTAAATATTTTTCAAAATCACACTACAAGTAACCACGTCATAGCACCATACACAACCTTTGAAAAGTATGTAGTAAAATATTTGAAAAAAATAAAGTGCGCAAGACAAAAAAGACAATGATAAGAAAATTCAGATGGGTATACTCCTTCCAAGTAAGCAACAATAAAATATGATAAAATTCCAGAGAACGGTACTGGCATTTTTTATGGTGTTAAAAAATAGTATTATTTCATGTTGTTACACATCAATCGATTAAGAAAAATATTCTTATTTGGGGCATGCAATGAGCCACAACAACCATGCTACACAATTAAAATGAGACTGAAAGATTATCGAAAGTTCGTTATTGAAAAGCATGTGAAGTATAGAAAAATTACACAGGTAAATCATATGGCTTACCATCAATTATAACAGTGCCTGGAACATTCTCGCGTTGTGCATATATATTCATGAAAGATAGCTCTGACAAAGGATCTAAATACATCCTGTAGAGCAAAGATAAACATTAGATGTATGGCATCAAATATTCAAACAAAACATTTTTCTTGAATTAGTTTGACGCCTTTCCTAAAAATTGGATGGATCATGACATATTACTTATAAAGCCATATAACCATACATATGAAAATAAAAATACATCCATATATCTAAGAGAATTAACTCAGAAATTATAAGTTCGCCTAAACAAAAACATGATCAATTTATTTAATACAGCTCAATAACAAAACAAAATAGCTTAAGGAATCAAAATAAATCTATAAAGTAATTTTCATGTTAATAGTTCATTTTATGACCAAATTTCATTTGTTAACATGCAAATAAATAATATTAATAATCCATGGTATCTAAAAGCTCCACATTAGCAGCTCTATTACGATGATAGCATTAACCTCCAATGATTCTTCTATTGTCCTACTTGATGCTTCCCATTACAATAGTCCGTCGACATTTTTTTAAATTCCATTTTGTAACATATTAGTAGATTACTATTACAAATATATGTTTAGCCATACTTTAAATTCATTAGTCACCTCATGTTTCCATACAAATAAACCATCATGCAACCTTCTTGTGTTCACCTTCGCTTCCTTCAACCTTAAAACTCCTCCTTGGGCATTTTGTATAACATGTACATAAGCTCCACAAATTTGTTGTAATGCCCAAAAACAACTTAAGGATCAATTAAAACTTAATTTTGAAATATACCCTGCTTTTTCTCATCACACCATATTCATCCAAACTATTTGTATAAAGTTCTACATTTTGTATCGCTTAAATTATATATAATAATATATACAAATTATTAATACAATGGTTTATAAAAAATTTTAATAAATTAGATTAATTAAGAAAAGTAATCTTTCTTAATCAAAATCCCAACATTGCAACAACCCCCACTTTCTATAATGTGCAGCAGGTAGATAATAATGGATGACAAGTATTTGTTGTCAATGTTTTGAGTAAATAGGTTAATGTCTTTTTCCTTTGCTTTCATTCCAATAAATAATGGTCTGTACAATCTATTTTACATAGTCTAATAATACATAATAATTTGTAATAATACATACTCCTAATCTAAATATTCAGCAGTAGAAAAATATGTACAATTAAGTTACGGAATTTAATTCAGCAATTTAAATAAGTAAACTCTTAATTCTGCCCAATTTCAGTTATTCTTGATTGATATACCCCCTCAAATTGATGTTGGCTGATCAAGAATCATCAATTTGTCAACAAGAAACAGGTGACTCTGCCCCAAAAGGGCCTTAGTAAATATAACAGTCGTTTGAATATCAGAAGAGATATGAGAATGAGAAATAATGTCATTATCATAAGCTTCTAGAATAGAATGACAGTTCACTTTAATGTGTTTCGTGCGCTCATGAAAGACAAGATTAGCAGTAATATGAATAGCACTGGTATTATCTGCATAAAGAGAAGTAGACTCAAGTTGAGAAAAACCAAGCTCAGCCAACAAATCTCGAAGACAAATGGTCTCAGAACAAGCAGAGGACGTAGCACAATATTCAGACTCGGTAGAAGATTTAGACACTCGATCTTATTTCTTTCTCTTCCAAGAAATTAAAGAGTTGTCCAGAAACATGCACCAACCAGTAATAGATCGACATGCATCAGAACAATCAGCCCACTTAGCATCATTATAGATTGTTAAGCAAATAGTAGACTCCGCAAAAAAGATGAGAAGTATCTTTCCAAAACCTAACAATACGTCAAACTGCAGCTAAATGAAGATGTGTAGATGCCTGCATAAATTGACTAACTTGTTGCACAGCAAATGAAATATCAAGACGTGTGATGGTTAGATAATTGAGACTCCCAACAAGTTGTCGATTCATATATAGATTAAATAGAAAGTCATCATCATTTTGTTGATATTTAACATTCACTTCCAAAGGAGTATCAACAGGAAGACCCTCTTGGAGCCTGCCAAAGCAATGAGTTCCTTAATATAGTTATGATTGTGAAGAAAAATATCGGAAGGAGAAAAGTGAACCTCAAGAACTAAGAAATAGGTTAAATACCTCAAATCATTCATGTGAAAAGAACCCTGAAGACACTTCGATAATTGAGACAACAATTGAGTATTGGATCCAGTGATGACAATATCATTAACATAGACTAATAACAACACAATACCCTTGGCAGTCTTCCAAAAAAATAATGAAAAATCATACTGACTTTGAATAAAAGAGAAACTAAGAAGAGTGTTGTGAAACATTTCAAACTAGGCCCGTGGAGCTTATTTCAAGTCGTATAGAGACCATTTAAGCTTACAAATATCATGTGAGGGTGTAGAAATCAAAGCCTGGAGCGGTTATATAGATATCTTCCTTAAGGTCACCATGCAAAAATACATTTTTAACATCCATCTGTTGTAAAAACCAACCTTTAGAAACAGCAATAGATAAAACAAGTTGGACAGTTGTCATCTTAGCCACAGATGCAAATGTCTCTTCATAATCAATCCCATATTCTTGTCAATTGCCAATAGCTATCAATCTTGCCTCATATCTGTCAAGGAAGCCATCAGATCGGAGTTTAAGAGAATAAACTCATTTACAACCAATGGGTTTAACACCTGCAAAACATGAACCAATAACACAAGTGTGATTGTTTAAAGAGCCTGAAGTTCCTCTTGCATGTCTTTTACCTAACAAGTTTCTTTGGTAGCCTTAAAATAAGATGTAGAAACAATCATATTAGTTAAAATTGTAGAAAAATCATATTTATTCAGAGGATGAATGTGTCGAGTTTATCGTCGAAGACTCGTTGGAGCATTTTCAGCAGGGTCGGGAAGGATTGGAGATGAAAGAGCCAAGTGTCGTGTGTAGACAATTTCAGCCTTGAATCGTTTATCAAAAGAAGAATCATCAAAGGGAGGATGTATAACAGTGTCAGATGTCAAAAGATGATACTGAAAATATTATTCATGTTTAAAAAAAAATCATATCCCAAGAGATACGTCATCAATGATTAATCAAGTTATAACACAAAACGTTTTTATGATTAGAACTGTAACCCATAAAGGTACATCGAACAGACTGAGCTGCCAACTTATGACGTTCATGGACAGGTAAATGAACAAAACAAATACATCTTAAGATATTTAGCATGTGATAATTAGGATGTTTACAAAAAATTCGATAGTAAAGAAAATCAAAATTCAATTATTGGGATGGTAAGCGATTAATCAGATAAATTGCAGTAGATAAAGTTTTTTCCCAAAACTTAGCTGGAATAGAAGATTCTAATAATAATGTGTGCGTCATATTCATATGATGATGATTTTTTCGTTCTGCAACTTCATTCTGTTGAGGTGTATAAGGACATAAACATTGTGAGACAATACCCTTGCTATGAAGAAATGTTTGAAACTCATGAGACATATATTCACCACCATTGTCATATCGTAAGATTTTAATACAATAGGAGAACTGAGTTTCAATATATGAAGGTTTGAAACATGGTAAACACTTCTGCTTTGGAATGCAAAAAATAGATCCATGTGAATTTGTTGTTATCATCTATAAATATCATAAAATATTTATACTTAGCATGTGAAATAACCGGCATAATTCCCCAATCATCACTATGAATAAAATCAAAGCATTTATTGGCATGACTTCCCAAAATAGAAAAAGACAATGTCTTACTTTTGCATAGTTTATAAGAGAAACAGTCAACTAATAAGTTTTTATCTGTAGATCTAAAAATATCATTTTGCAACAAATGATTTAAAACAACATTATTTAGATGACCTAATCGTCTATGTCAGATGCCAACCTTATTTTCAACAACTGAAGAAGCTAATGACAATATCCGAGGAACAGTAAATTATAATGAAAATAACCTACACACTTTAGGTCTCTTCGCTATCACCTTCCCCGACACCTGATTCTACAAAACACAACCATCACGAGAAAAGTGTACATCATAATTATTATCCATCATTTGACCAACAGAAAGTAAGTTTGTAGATAATTTAGGAGAAATCAAGACATGTAGGAAGGAAGAGTTAATATCACTAAGTATCGTAATTGGAATATTATTTTCATTAACGACCTGAATATGTTGAGCACCAGTATACGGGCGTTAATTATGCAATAAATCAGATGTGTCATTTATATGGTTAGTAGCGTTGGAATCAACAAACCAAGGAAAATGAACAGAAGTAATTCTTACCTTTCCCTTGAAGACCAAGAGTAAAAAAGTCAGAGAGAATCATCTGTTGAACCATATCTGGTGTGAGAATAGATTGAGTATTACCAGCAATTGTGGATGTCGGACCAAGATTGTGAGAATCGGATACCATAGCATGAAGGACTTGTGATTTGAGGTTTTGAGGCTGTGTAAGACACTTCTTAATAATATATCAATTTTTCTTGCAATACTTACTGAATTTCTTACTACATTGGCTAGCAATATGATCAAATTCTTTGCAGTTGTAACACAGCTTTGTTTCGTTCCCTCGGATCTGGGCAGCATATGCAACATTAACTATTTCTGATGATCCACCAGCTGCATGAATAGTAGCTTATGTCGCCAATCTTTGTTCTTCGCGCAGTAATTCACTAAAACATACATCCAAACAAAGAACCGGATCTCAATTCAGTAGCACAGCCCAAATAATTTCAAATTCAGGTCTGAGATTCATCAAAAACTAATCACGAGGACTCACATAATGAATAACCTGAAAACTAGCTAAATTCTCCATTGACACCATGGCATATATAATGTCAGAATATTCAATCCATAAATTAAGAAAGCCAGAATAATCTTGTTCAATTGAGAGAATGTCTTGACTATAATTACTCGTATTATGTTCCAATTGAAAGCGCCTTGCAGTTTTATTTTGATTGTAGACGCGCTTCAAGAATTTTCACATTTTTTTAGCCATGCCAAAGGATTGTAAATTCTTCGCCAAATGAGCCTCAATAGATCTCAAAATCCAAGAAACAATCTG